TTACGGTTTACCTTAACCCCAAAGAACCTAGCTATTTAAGGCCTTATATAAAGAAATTATAATAAGGAACCCTAAAAAGGTAGGTTATTTGGGGTCCAGGTAGGGCTTAGGGCTGCCACCCAGGAACCGTGAGGCCAACGGGGAATGCCATGCAGAAGGCACCTCAGCGAGTCTCGCAGCATGTGGCTCGAATGCCAGTTCGTAAGACTGACTACCCATAGACCCCCAAGTAGTTCCTTTTTGTAGTTTATATACAGAATCCTATAAGGTGATCCCAAAAAGGAACTGCTTAGGGGCCTATGGGTATCTTGGAAAGATTTGATCTTCTCGGGTTTCGGATTTGGGTTCAAGGGCTTCAGTTCGAGATCTACTGCCCACCGGACGTCACGGATGGCTGCCGGGATGCAGCGAACATCGGCGAACATCTTCGAACCCACTGGCCGCTTTCAATGCACATAGGTGCCGCGGCTCTACAGAATTTACAAACCTAAACCCTAAACAATCCCCAACGCTTCTGCATTGAAAATTGCAAAGTGGGCCTGAATAGGTCTAAGCCCTTTTGAGTTTGAGGCTTCTGTCATTTTATAAGAAAACTTGTTATAAGGGTTGCTGCACCGGTCTTACAAAGGTTTCTTTAACAGCCCAGCTGCCAAAGACGACCAGGGCGCCGAGTAGACCCAGAATAAAGAAAGCCTCTGCGCAACAGACGCAAGTGTAGCAAGATTTGGCTTTTTGGGGTTGAGGAGTTCAGGGTTTAGGGCTTTAGGGGTCCAGGAATACGCTAAGCTTGTAGAAGCAAGATATAAAGCTTATACCCATAGGCCCCCAAGTAGTTCCTTTTTGTGGCTTATATTCAGAATCCTCTAAGGTAATCCCAAAAAGGAACTACTTAGGGGCCTATGGGTAGCTGTTTTATGAAGTTATACGTATCCCTAAAAAACCCTAATGATGATACTGTTGCGTTATTTGTATCCTCCAAGAAAGGTTTAGAAGTTTACATAATATAGGGGCCTCAATAATTAGAATGGGGTTTGGGGGACCCTTATCACTACAAGTATAAAATAGGAACCCCCAGAATAGTAGAGGTAATTATTTAGGGTTCTATAGCCTTGAGGACTAAGTCTTCGGCCCAAAGAGCGTATTGTAGAAGGCAGTTGGGCTAGTTTGAGCTTTAGGGTAAGGTTTGGAAGGTTTAGGGGTCTAAGGTTTGGGGCATATGTTTAGGGTTCAGGGTTATAGGCGTTTATAGGATCTAGGAAGTTTAGGGCTTACCTGCGGCCCGAAAGACCTACCTTTCTAAGGCACTATACACGGAAGCCATAATAAGGAACCCTAAACAAAGCTAGGTTTTTTCGGCTACAGTTAAGGTCTCTCGAAGGCCGTAACCCTGAACCTTAAGCCCTAACCCCTAATAAACCCTAAACTCTAAACTCTAAACTCTAAAATCGAATCGAGGATCCCCGCAGGCGCCGTCAGTGTTGTAAGCATGGTATCCAGAGCAATCGCCCAGTGAGCCGATCGCCCCGGTGAACCTCGGATTTTACAAGGCTTCTGGGTTTCACACAGGGCTTGGGGTTTAGGGTTAGGGCTTAGGGTTTAGGCTCAAAGGGTTTGCCATAGGCTAATAGGGTTTCATAGAGTTTTGCGAGGGTTGAGTGGGTGCTCCAGCATCCCCGCATTAATGAGGGTATCCTATTTCCCGTAATGGGAGATTACGGAAATCTGAGAATCAAAGAGCAAAAGGGTACTAGTGCGGAACCCTAGGAACAGTACCCCGGCCACCACTAGGCAGACGATGGCAACGATGATGCAGAGGATGATCCACAGGAACTCAGTGCAGGGGACTCTGACATCTAAACATGTCCACTGCACAGGAAATACCGGTAGACATACCTTAACCTACCAGGACCTTCCTTTTCGTAGCGTCCCTATGAATTCAATACCTGATAGCAGGGCTCTAAAAACGCGAGCTCTGGTAGGCTACAAGGCTTCAGCACCGCATGATCAGCGCTTTGCAACTTCGAGGTGCTGCTGTTCGCGCAGACTCCGACTCATCCATCCAGGAGTCGCTTTGCCTGGGATCTTGTTCCCTAAACCCTAAACCCTGAACCCTGAACCCTAAACCCTGAACCCTGAACCCTAAATCCTAAACCCTGAACCCTCAAGCCTAAACCGGCCCCAAAGGGTCTCCTACAGGCCTTATAGGTTTACGTTAAGGGCATGATATGCTGGTTTTCTTGGGAGAATCGGACTTGAAACTGAGGCCGTTCGATTTGGCATGCAACCCTATTACTTTTATGACACCTTAAGTTACTTAAGTTTTCTAGAGGAACAAGCTTTAACGCTAAACCGCAAACCGGACCCATTGAACTAAAACAAGAACGCCTCAAGCTCTACTAAGTTCCTCAACAAAAGCCCAGTTGCACGTAAACCAAGAGCCCTCAACCCCAAAGCCCAAGTTTCATTCAGCTCCTCAACCAAAGCCCCTGTAACCTCAACTACGAACCCCATAAGTTCCCTCAGCCCCACCAAAAGCTTCCACAACAAAAGCGTAGTTGCACAAAAACCAAGAACCCTACATCCGAAACCCTAAACCCAAAAACTCCTAAAGCCTGAACCCCCAGTTGAACCCTAAATACTAAACGCCTAAACACTTATAAGCCCTAAACCCCTAGTTAAACCCTAAAACCTAAACCCTCACTAAGTCCTCACCAGAAAAGCCCAGTTGCAGGAGGCTGCTGGCCTCCTCATCGCGACTCACCGCCAGGCGCAATCCTGGGCGAGTCTTCGGACATCGGTTTGAAGGAGCTTGAGGAGCTGAGGAGTTTAGGGGTCTGGGAGTTGAGGGTTTAGGGTTTCAGGCGTTTTGGGGTTAGGGATTTGGGTCTTTAGGGCTTGAGGGGTTAAGGGTTAGAAGCTTAGGGTTTATATATAATTAGGGGGAATTTGCAACAAGGTTCTCTCGGACTTCAGCTCCAGCGACGACGCCGTACCTGAGTCCGCGTTCTCCATGTGCCCGTGCGCCTCGCCAGCCGTGCCTCAGCCGCCCTAACCCTTAAACCTCTAAATCCTTGAACCCTTTGAGCCCTGAACCCTTAAGGCCTTTTGTAGACCCCTTTATACAGCCTAAAACCCTAAAACTAAACTCTTAAACCCGCAGCCATAACCCTTTGTCTGCAGTCACACCCGCACGCCCGATCCTATTCATAAATTGAGGCAGATTTGACAGACCCCATAAGCCCTAGACTACCACCCTACCTGAACCCCGCTCGCAAACATACATATTCTATGAATACCTCACAAAAAGAAAGCCCCAAAGCCATATTAATTGTGGGATTCAGGCCAAACCCCAAGCATAAGTTTGACGACCCAAGAGCTCAGCACCGCTGCGATGGACGTTTTCCCCAAGTTCTTCAGATAGTCTTGGCAGTGTGTCGGCAATGAAAGCGTGTGGCCAGCAAGATCCCCGGCGTTGTAACCTGGCACCTTCATGAAATACCTCTGTTGTGGCGCTTGAAGGGTCTAGGGTCTAGGAAAGTGTATGAAAAAATACATCAGAGCCTCACAGAGACTGTGGCGCTTAAAGGGTTTAGGGTAGAGTCTTTAACTCTGAATCACAAGATACCTCAGGGAGACTGTACTGTAGTGTGGGAAATCAAACACTTGGCACCGAGACACTTCACAAAGAGCATCAACTGGCGCTTCTCAGCATCTGACTCGTCCTTGAGCAAACACTTGTCTTTGGACTCCAGCTTGACCTGGTGTCTCAGGGCCTACATAGAGTTCCTAAGAGGGTGCCTTGAGGGTACCATGGGCTCTATTCGGATTTTCGGGCTTTGGGTTGACTGTTTGAGGTGTTGTAATTGCGGAGTTCACTAGATAAAGTCTTCTGATTGGCCTCAGTAGTCTGCGCAATCTGACCCTTTTTACTACCTGTCCTGACAATGGAGCTTTGGCCCACTTGGGCGTGGTGCTGCAGGCTTGTAAGGTCCCGCACTGTGGTTTTCTTATAAGTGTTCGCATCAATTTTTGGTGAGGCCTTTTAGTAGACACAAAAATATACAAACCCAAATGTAGACACACAAATAGACGAACCCCAAAAAATTGGAAGCTGCCGTTTTGAGTTTTGAGGAAGTAAGTATAGCTTGTGTGAAATATGCCAACCTTCTAGAGCAAAAGGTAAACCCAGACCTTCACCAGACTTCCAAGATCCCTTAGTTAAGGAACCCACCTTTGGTTATATATCCGTATACCTCATATGATTTCAGGAATATACCTTTAGCTTTTATGAGGATCGTTAATATAACCCTAAACCCTAAGCCCGTAAACCCTAGACCCTATAAGGTAGATTCCTTAATTCAGGGATCTTGGCAGGTCCGGGGGGAACCCTAAACCCTAAACCCCTAAACCCCTAACCCTAAACCCCTAAACCCTAAACGCTAAACCCTAAGCGCTAAACCCTAAAGGGAGGAACCCTGGTCTTCCCAAGCCGCCGTCTCAATAACGATTGCCGGGCGCTTCAGCATGAAGTCTACGAGCTCAGAGTGCCTTGGAGCTCAGGAAAGCCAAGCACTGTTTAGGGTTTAGGGTTTGGGGCTTATAGGATTTAGGGTTTAAGGGTTTAGGGGTTTATAGGGTTTAGGGGGCTTATAGGACTTATGGTTTAAATCATTTAGGAGAGGAAGTTGCGGTCAGCTTTTTGACATGACGTGTGGGTTTCATGCTACCCATTGCCATTCAACTGAAGCAAGGCTCGCCGGCCGTGAAACTAAGTGTCTGGATTTCCGGCTATGTTCACTGCAGCAGAGCTTCAACTTTGCAGGCACGGAGAACTGAGTGGAATCTTGCAGTTCTGTGACAGACTTCTTCGCTGCGGCGTTGTACTGCTCAGTCGTTAAGCGGTCCTGTGACGGCGCTTCCAAGGGAAAGGGTTTAGGGTTTCGGGTTTAGGGTTTAGGGCTTAGGGCTCAGGGTTTAGGGTTTAGGGCTTCCAAACGGGGGTGCATCCTAGCGGGCTGGCTTCCGGGCAGTTGGGCTTCCCAGGCTGGTCACGAAGCACTGAACATAACAAGCCACCCGTGGTGCCAAAGTTACTTGTCGTTCCGGGCAGGACCTTCCGACTTGGACACACTATACCCCAAACATCCTTAATCACGGGCCCTCCCTGGCCTTGCGATGGCGCCAATGCTTCATGTCCATTTGGCTCACTCGGCTGTGCGCCGCTGTGAACTTCCCAACTTCGGGATCTGTCCTGACACAAAGACTAAGCCCAAAGGCCGCGCCCTTAACCAATAAACCCTTAACTAATTCGAGCCCAGAAGCCCCTTTCAACCCTATATGACCCTAAAACCCTGATCCCTAAACCGCCCAACCCTAAACCCTAAACCGTGAACCTCTAAGCCTCCAAACCCTACCAAACCCAAGAGGCCAGAAACTGCTCTGAGTCGTCGAACTGCTGTAGGGTCCCTAAACCCTACAACGCTAAACCCCTACCCATAGGCTCCTAAGTAGTTCCTTTTTGGGGTTACCTTGTAGGATTCTAAATATAAACCACAAAAAAGGAACTACTTAGGGGCCTATGGGTAGACCCTAACCCCCAAAACCGTAAACCCTAAACCCCCAAAATCCAACACCCTAACCCCAAACTCCTAAACCCTAAACACCCAAACCCTTATAAATCCTAGGGCCTCGAGGGCAGCGTCTCCAAGACTTGAAGCAAGTCGGCGGCTTCCTGGTCTCTTGCTCAAAGGAGCTTAGGGTTTCAGTATCAGGTTTAGGGTTTAGAGTTTGGGGGTTAGGGTTTAGAGTTCAGGGTTCTCAGGTTTAGGTTCAGGGGTTAGGGTTTGGTCTCTGGTCCAAAGGAGCTTTGTTCAGCTCCTTTTTTTCTGCGATGCCCAGTTTTTCAGGGAGATTAGGTTTCAGTATTTGTTGTGCTTGAACCCTCTTTTCCTACTGCCCGTGCTCTTTCGGGAGACCAGAGCGGGGGGATGCTTATTACTCCGTTAAAAGCTTAAGGTTAAAAGCTTAAGGCTCTTCTCCCCAGAGGCTCGAACAACTCCTCAATTCTGGTACATGCGTTAGACTACAAGAGGTCTGTGCTATGATCCAAGGCTTTTCTTGACCAAAAGGCTTTGGAGGAACCGTTTCATTCGATTGTACGGCGGCGGCAGGGTTTAAGGTTGAGGAGTGACTTAGGCCCGGCGTCGAAGTGAGAAATTCAACTTCCGTGTTTTAGGCTGAGTGCTGTGGGTTTTGGGCGTGGGATTTAGGGCTTTGAGGCTTCTTGTCAAGGAATTCTAAATGCCACCATTACGGGGTTTGTAGGGTGTGTCTGGAGCTTTATAGGGCCTTACAGCATGCCGGAGAACGTAGCTGAAGTCACGACAACGTAGCTGAAGTCACAACTTTGCAGATTCCTTGCTGAAGATCCCTATGACGGCAACGCAATTTCTCTATGCCGGAGATGACCCGAATCAGACACTGACATATGCTCCTGTATAGTGTCAACTCTTGATTAATAAACCCCCGCGTGATTAAAGGCATCCCGCGTGGGCCTCGGACCTGGCTGAAACCGTGCTTTAAAGGCGCTGGCCTCTTCCACCAGAGCCCCCCCCCTTGAACAAAAAACCCTTGCCAACCACCCCCCCCCCCGACTAATTGCAACCCGCGTCCATGAAGCCTCCCAAATTGAATTCTAGTCTTCAGGCTCGGCGTGGGTTTGGGATCCTGGCTGGATTGCTTTGTTAAACGTTCTGGGCCACCGGCCGACCTACCTTGTGGGGGGGGATATTTATCAAGAGTTCCCAGTAGTGTCTTCAAAAACACACCCCTTAGGAACCGGTATGAAATCAGTATCTGTCTCAACCCTAAACCCTAAACCCTAAAGTGCCCAGCTTCTTCCCAAAGTGCGGCAGTTTTCTTCATACTGGATCTGCCAGCGCTTGACTTGGATACTGCTGGCATGTCCTCCAGCTTCTTGACAACCTCAGGGTCAGGGCCACTTCTTGGTGGTGAAATAAACCCTAAACCCCCAAACCCTAAGCCCTAAACCCTAAGCCCTAAACCCTAAACCCTAGTGTTCTAGGCTGAGGTGTAGGAGGTTTAGGTTTTAGAGGTTTGCGGTTGGCGACTCTCGTGTCGAGTGGTAAGACCGTGGAGAGATCCCAGAGACTCGGTTTAGGGTTTAGGGTTTGGGGTTTAGGGTTGAGGTATTAGGGTTTAGGGCCAGTTTAGAGAATCAATACTTCATCAAGAACTGTCCATTAAACGATTGTAGGAACTCACATCTGACTTGAGGGCAATTCCTGAAATTGAAGATGTTGGGGGTCTCTGAGAAGACATGTGCAAAGAAGTAGCGTCCAGTGCCATCGATTTCAATGCAGGGATGGCTTCTTTCGCGATGGTCTCATCGGCCGCCTCACGACTGCTGTGCCCTAAACCCTATAGGGTTTAGGGTTTCGGGTCTAGCAGACCCAAAACAAACTCCTAAACACTGGAAACCCTAAACCCTAAACTAAACCCTAAACCCTAAACCCTAAACCCAAGACCCTGCTGCCTCATGGCTGCTGCCACCAACTGCTTTGCATTTCTGCTGGTCGCCAAACGGAGCCAAGGGACTGGGCCTCTCACCTGGCTGCGCTGAGAGTTTGGAACTTTAGGGTTCTCTGAGTTGTACATTTAAAGGGGCCCAAAAAATTCTCAATAGAGGGTATCTCGAACCAGGAGGAGAATTGACAAGTTTATCAAAGTGCCACAGGGGAGAGCTAGTCTTTACTGCCAGACCAACGTTTGAAGTCAGTATTCGTTGCATTCCTGAATAGTGTAGCGTAGCTGAAAACAAGTTCCTGAACCCAGCCTTTCGCAACTTCCGTACAAAATGCCACTGGCCCACACTTGTCGTCGTCGGAGTTGTAGAAGCAGCGGTAGGCACACTGGCTCGGACTGTTCAGGCAAGAGCTCTGGCCCAGCATGGCATCCACCAGTGCCATGACTTGGCGATCTGGAGAGTTTAGTGGCTTTGTACTATGCCCTGGGACTTCCACATGAACTTCGGAAGGTGTCCGCTCCGATGCCATGTTTACCTCTTTGATATCAATCGTTTCCTGAACTCCCTTGTAGAAGTAGTAAGGTGTCGCAGAGCCCTTCTGGTACACAGGGTAACCGGCATAGCGCCAAGGAATCGTGCTGCTAGTGGTGACGCCGATGACAGGGTTCATCTCTGTGCGGATCCAAAGGATGTCGTCCTTGTCATAGTGGATGGATCCCCACGAGCTACCTTCCAAACCCTGCCACCCCGAGATGCCCACAACGGCCATAGTCTTCAGCTCCTTGCAAGGATCTGATCTTCAGCAACACAATCACCCCGACAGGAACCAAAGGGGCAACCTTTCTTGAGTTCGGGCCTTCGTCATCACAACAGCATCTGGCAGGATACGGTACTTCCTGTCCATGCCAGTGATCACCACGTACTTTTCTGGCTCCCCTGCACCACCACTGGCATAGCTGAAGGTGATGGTGGCATTGGTCCATGTGAGGTCGCCCCTTGGATGCCCAAGTCAGCACATCTTAAGCAGCACGCTCGGTGCAAACTGACCACGGCAGCTGATGCATCCCAAAACCAAAAATTACGTCAGAAGTACTGACACAAGATACATACATACATACATACATACATACATAATTACACGTACATACCACATAGGCAGATGGACCCTTAAGATTTAGGTTGCGGCCTTGGGTCAGCAGCGGATTTTCCTTCCCTTTCGCCCACATCGTTTGCAGTGAGAAAGATCCGCCAGCAGCAACATCAGCCAAGTTCTCATGAAACCTTGGTAGGAAGGCACGCTTAAGTGAGTTTACATATATAGCTTTACCATATTGATAATTTTGACGGACAAGGCCCTGAAATTTCCACAAGTAGGCATAAGATTCTGTCAAACAGTAGCACCGCTTAACGCAACCGCAACAGTGCAGAAACAAAAGCTGACTATCGGGACCTGGTCCTGACACTTGCAAAGCTTCAGGGTTTAGGTGCCCAAGGGTGTTTAGGGTGCCAAAGCCAAAAGCTCACTTGCGACCTGGTCATGCAACTTGCTGCTCTGCTCCATCGCTTTGGCAGACAAAGAGACCATCTCAGCCGCATTGAATCCATCTCTTGCTGCAGAAACATCCCGAACGGCCAACATGAAGATAAGGGCCTCAAGTGTCAAGTCGTAGGATTTAAGATTCGGCAGGGCTCTAGGACTCAAGGTTTGTCAGGGAGTTTTGGGGCTTTAGGTTTGGGTTCTCGGATTTAGCGTCTATTCGCTTCAAGAGCTAAGGCTTCTATGTACACTGCCCGAGAAGCCATAGCGAGGTTCTGCCGCGCTAAACGCCGCATCATCGCAGCTGGTGTGGAGTTGGCACTCAACTGAAGGCTGTGCTGAGTTCATGTATTTCGAGCCCGGCAGTTGAAGAAGACAGCATGCCTTGTCAACTGCACAACTCATAAATATCCTACAGTTAGCACAAGCTGCAGAATAGCAAACACTGCATTCTGCGCCTCTGCAAGGACTGGTGCCATTGGAGCTCCATTTCCTTGCACATCGTGGCCGGCAAGAACAAAGCCAACACGGACATACTTTGATCATGCGACTGTTCTGAACAGGAGTGTTGGTCATGGTCGTCGAGTACTAGTACTAGTAGTACCAATACCAGGACTAGCACTAGTGCTAGTGCTGGTTCGGGCTTTACTGGGAAGAGTGCTGGTCCTAGTGCTGGTACTGGTACGAGTACCAATACCAATACCACCACCATACCGGTACTTGAACTAAGAGTACTAGTACCAGTACAAGTAGTGGGCAGGATACCATTTCCGAGGCTTTGCAAGACACCTCGTATTTTGAGTCTGTACTAGTGTACCAAGGTCCCTGTTTCTCTGTCACTCCCGGATGTCCAAACTCCTAAATAAAAGCCGTGCCCCTAAACCCTAAACCCCTAAACCCTAAACCCCCAAACCCTAAACCCCTAAACCCTAAACCACTAAACCTTATAAGCCCGACAAAAACACACATCCGCCTCGGCGCTGGGAATGCACGGCCGCCCGTGTTCTATGCAGTCAGCCAGAGAGCAACCGAAGCACCCCCGCGAGGACTTTTTGGGATGGTTTAGGGTTTAGGGTTTTGGGATGGAGAGCTTAGGCTGGTCCAAGGTTGAAGGGAGTACAGAAGGGACATTGAGAGGGAGAATGCTTGCAGTGAACCTCACCCGACCAGGGGCTAAAAAGGCACAGTTGGAATAGCATAGGGTTTACACACAAGACCTTTGAAGGGAGAACTCTAACTAACCTTACGACACCACATCAAAAGAACAGTTCGTGTAGTGCACCCATACCCCCACACAAGATCCAGGAAACTTTCGATACGGCCATGGCCTGAACAGGCGATCAAGCAACAGGCTTCACAAAAAAAACCTCTCATGCAAACTTAAGTTCAAACTCTGACGTCATCTATATAGGTGGAACAGCCAAAGCACCTCCGTTCTTTTGAGCCTAGAGCATGTATAGTCTTATTGGTAACTTGGTTGCTCCAAGTAGACCCTGAGTCAACAAAAACATATGGCCCAAAGGGTCCAAGTACTAGTATAGTATGTACTTTTGGGGCCCAAATAGCCACTAAGTAGCTACTCTAATGGTACTTGGGCCCTTTGGGTGGGGTGTCACGGTGGGCTTCCTGCACAAGGGTTGTTTAACAATTTTAAACGTCAGTCATTGAGGTTGAGGGTTGAGGTTTTGAGGGTTAGGGTTTCAGGTTTAGGTTCAAAAAAGAAGACTGGCAGCATCTTGCAGAAAGTGAAGTGTAAAGGAGAGCCAGAAATACATAGGCGTTTTCCGCTTTAGTGACTTCCGTCCCTCGTGTTCTGGAACTCCCCCCAAAAAAGCACAGGGACCAAGGCCTAAGCAGCGCAAATGTGGGGATCCTACCTTCGTGGTGTCAGGGCACCCTGTAGTCTAAAAAAAATTAGACTTTGGGGTGTAAGGCTTGTTCCATTAGTTTAAGGAACACAAACAAACTAAACTGAGCTGAGAGATTTGAGGGGTCAATGCAAACTCCAGGAACCATCAGTTACCGGTAGAGGGATTTGTGCACTCGACCCAATAAACTCTTCTTTCCCTGCGCAGGCAACATGGTGCTTTTGACGGAGTTTTGCGTCTCAAGAGAAGCTCCCACGCACAGCGCACGCCGGGCGCCGAAAACTTGGGAAGGCACCCCTACGGGGCTTGGCCCTGTGGCTCAACATAGCGCAACAGCCTTCTGTAGTATGGTCCTTATATGTCTTTATTAACTATATGAGTCGTCCAGCCTTTGAAAATGCGTTGAGTTCCCAAGACGTACCCTGTCTTCTTTCACCCAAACCCTGAAGCCCCCACCTGTATCTCACAGCAGCTCGTCATTTAGCTTCTTGGTTATCAGTCCTCATTCATGACTCTGAGACGGTAGGGTTTTCTGGCTACAAGTGCACCCAAATCCCTAAGGTGAGTCTTCCTCATTCTTGTCACTTTGAACTTTGCAGACTCCAATCTTGTCACTTTGTAGACTCCCGCCACCTGGTTCAAGCTAAGCTCTTGCGAACCTCGGCAGTGGGCATTTGCTCTGGCGTTCTGCGGTTTGATGACGTTTAACAAGGGCTATGTAGCCATAGCTAGAAATCCTACCTTCGGTTTGATTAAGGAAAGCATATGAAGTCCTGTATAACCCTTCTTTCGGTACGCGCTTAGACACGGCTTTGTAGGAGTTCGATTTATGTGAGTCTCAGTAATGCATGCAGGCATACTAAACCCTATCTATAGCACCCCATTTCGGTAGCTTGAGGATATAAAGTTTCGCAACTTACCATCCTACAGCTTATAGACCCAGGTAATCCTACTTCAAACGCCCATGACACTCTACCTCCCAAACCCCAAACCCTGCAAACCCGTCCGTAACGGGTCCTAAGTACCAGGACTGCGGCGGATCTATTGTGCTTATGGTGTTCAGGGTTTCGGGCTCCGGGCTGACTGTTCAGGCATTCAGGGTTGTGCATTTCGAATCAGATTGCTTAGGGTTCAGATATGCGTGTTAACATAAGACATTCAATATCATTCTCAAGGTACATAGAGCTTCAAGGGATACCGCAGAAGCTAAGTTGAGGCTCCGGTGTCGTGATGAGTTTCAGGACTGCAACTATACCAACCTGTATCCAGGCAACGATATATACTTTGAAGGCGAGTGAATCTGCTATAACTTCACGACACAAGCACTGAACGAACCCTCGGTTGGAATTTCCCCAGTGTTGATGCCTGACACCTGCACGCAAAGCTCAAACACGAAACTCCGCTAAGGTAAACGGCCGCTGCCCAAGCCTCGAAGAGCTGGTGTGATGTGCAGCCTGCGGAAAGTTGGATCAGGTGTCAACGGGGTAGCTTTCTGTTGAGAAGCATGGGCGCATCGACTCAGATGGAACTGCAGGGTGAAATTGCATGGTAACTCAAAAATCAAAGAAGCCATGCAGCAAATGCATGGCCTACATTGCTGTCCTGGCACTTAGCATTCGAGCCAAGTGTTGACGATCCTTTTTGCACCATGCACTGATGCTACTGATTGTGTCTGTAATTACATGCGTGGCTGTCGAGGCCTCGGGACCTTCAAACAGCACTGCTCATTAATCACTCTTTGCTCCGTCAGAAAAACCAAAAAGCACAACCATTATGCAAGAAAACATCTTGTGAACAACGATTTCCTGTGGTCCAACAAAATTATCACGAGGAGCGTGAGCGACTAACTAGCCGTCTGAAGTCATATGATTCATATCTTCCTTGATGAAGACTTTCGGAATTCCGCTTTCCGTTGCCTCTCAGTTCGTGGCGACGTACTCATTCACTTTGAGTTTTCCTGACAATCTCTGCGAGGCACTTCGCCCACAAGGAACAGGCCGGGTGCCCCATCCGGCATGTTCCATCTTGCCTCCCAGCGGCACTTCAAACACGTTGATAGGCAAGCACATATTCAAAGTACACGCGCTGTTCATGAAAGGATATGAACTCTCGAAATCGCTTGAGAGCCTTGCCTTTCTCCACGATGAGAGAGTGATAGTGCACAGGGTTTGCAGCTCGGGTACCACTAATCTGCGCAAGGTCTATCCCCTTCTGTGATCGGAACACATCTCTGCCAGCTAAGTCTCTCTGCTTTCCAGGGTCAAGGCCTTGAATGCACATCGCATGACCACAAAGAGCACGAACAACAAAGCAAAAGCAATATCCACTCATGTCAACATCTTCACTCCCTGGTAGGTGGCTCCTGAAATCCCGCATGAAAGCATCATCTCCCACAGGTCCGGTGTACTGGTCGCACTTCTCCGGATCCTCGCTGAGGTAGATGCCACTGCCGAAAGCACCATCTCTCACAGCCGCACGATTTGTCAATCCTTGTGCCAAAATGGGAAGCACATTTTTAGGGCTCGTACCGTGCAGCAATCGCACTTCTCCTGCTCTGCTGTCCAGTCTGCCCGGCAGAAGTGCTGAGATCTCATCAAGGCGAGTCAGGACCACCCTGGATATATCTACTCCGACTTGCTCCAACTCATTGCGGTCGTTGATAACTTTGTCTTTTGCTGCAAGATATGCATTCCAGAGTGTCACATTCTCGAGATGCCATGCATGGCGCAATGCCAGCTGAGAATAAGCAGGGCGACCACGCTCCACGTCCCTGCCCTTGCCAAGCTCGCCAGCCTGATTCACTGCCAGGAGTCGCTTAAGCATGTGAAACTCCAGGACGCCGACATTGACCAAAGGAATGCCCGACGACTTCGGATGCAGCCAATGGTCAGGTGCGTTCTCGATGCGTGGGCTACGTCCATCTGGGTCAAAGAGCTTGAAACACTTCTGGCACAACAGAATTGAAGGCTGCCTGCATTCCACAGCATGAAAACAGCAAATGCAGAAGATGTTGGTAGGACGCTCGGTCAGCACTTGCTGCGAAACAAGAGGGCGAAAACCATGCAAATGCTGTTCGATGAACGAGGAAAGGTGCTTAACATTGTGGCGCTGGAAACTTGTCAATGACTCATCATCGACCGGGTTGGTCGGATGGCTATCGTCTGGGCTTGCACCGACGTGTGACTTAGCCTTGCGGAGCAGCTTGGTTGCTGTCAAGGTCTCCGTCTGCAACACTTTCAGAAAGCGATCTTGCTCAAGAGCATTCTGCAGGTCTGGATCCAGCTCAAAACTGCCGTCCCAACGATCGTAAATCCCACCTTGAAACCAGCGAAGAAAAATCCGCGAAATCCAGCCGAATCGCGCAGGAATTACTTTTTCACTTGTTGTGTGTGTATCATGGCCAATCGACGAGGCAAAGCAATGGACAGCAT